TTTAACACACTTTTCACGCAGCTCCTGGTTAAAGAGCAATTGCAAGGAAATGACAATCTGAGCAGCACACCCTAACAGCGTGCCTTCCTCTTCACAGAAGCACAGTCACAGACCCAGCTCGGCGGACAGCCCTGCGCCGGTCAGTCAGGACCAGGGAGGGGTCACCAGTCGCCCTTGACACGAAGGAGACTTCCCTGGTGATTCAAGTTGGATCCCAAACCTTCTGGGTGGAGGTTTGTTAAGTGGACGCCTTGGCAGACAAAGTCTTAACGAGATCTCCCCGTTTCGCACAGCAAGGCAGTGTGGGATCAGCGAAGACGCCCAGTTTTAAAGTACATGCGCAGCTGGATCGGTCGGAGGCCTTTACTCTCCCTTTCAGCGGACTACAGAAAACAGCGGCTGTGCGGTATCGGGGAAATTCCCAAGAAGTACAGTACTTACGGGCAAGAGTCCACAGGGTGAAAGTCCACAAAATGGAAAGCAGCCTCATCACAGAGCCCGGGCTTCAGCGCTGCAGTTCCGCCTCTAGACGCACGAGGTGCTAAATCAGAACGAGCCCGAGGGTGAGCGGGCCGCCTGCTGGCCCCACTTTTATACCGGGGGCCAACCGGCTGACGAGCGGTTTTGTCCACATCGCCGTCAAAGCGAGAGTGGGAGAGGCTGACAGCGCTTCCTCTTCTGAAACGCTGGTGCTCTGAAATAGCCCCTTTCGCTGTCCCCCACCTTCCGTGTTACTCTGTGTTACTCTGTTGCAGCTGTGAAGGCCAAGAGCCCCACCAGGCCTCAGGTTTCCTCCACCGCTGGCACACCCTGCTGCTCGTCAGCAGCCCCCGAGCGCAGCCGCGTGCTCTCCCTGCCTGGCCTGCAGGCCTTGACGCTGTGGGCTGGTGTCCCATCGGGAGCTCTGCGCCCTTGGCTGCCAGGAGCAGATGGATAGATAAGACTTTGTTGATCCCGCAGGGAAACTGAGGTGTTACAGCAGCCCAGCTGCAAAAACAGACATCAGAATAGACTGAAAAACAAAATAAAATAAGTACAGCAATACAAAATAAAATATAGAGTTAGGTGTGTGCAAAATATGCTCATAGTCACTGTAAAACAATCAAATATGTGCAAAAGTAGACGGTTTGCCAAAAATGGAAAAGCATCCTGATGAGCATCAGAGAACAAACAGCTGTTTGGGAATGACAGCAGTGGCCTGTGTATGTCAAGACCGAATATGTGACTGAACTTCAGCACGCAGCAGCTTTTCTCACAAGGGATCGATACCTCCTCCAGTGTGCTGCATGATGTCTTTAAACCAGAAGGTTTAATGATGCATTTAGGCCAGATTTGGCAGATATTCTGTCTTTGCAGTGTTTTCCCATTGAACACAAGCGCAATGTTAACAACCGAAATTAGACTGCGTGGAGGATCCACGGGGCTCTTCCACTGGAGTCTCCATTTAAAGTGCAGGCAAATTGAGTCTGGGCTCGGCCAGCTTGGACTTGCCACCTGGAGGAGTCTGGGAGTCTGGTGTCTCCCTGCCAGCACAGTGCCTCCTGTTGGCCAGTGCAGGCTGAATCTCACAACCGGGTTTTTTTTATCACAACTGACCACAGAACGTGCGATTGAGAGGCGAGACCACATGCACTTTTTTCACAGAGGCAAGTGTTTTTCTTCACAGCAGCGTGAACTTCTCCCTGAAGAGCTGCCTCTCTTGAGTGCTGTGCAAGTGAAAGGTTACAGCAGGATAGAGGAAATGAAAGTGCTCGGTTGTACAATGAAGCACTTTCAGCTGATTCACTTCTCTGCTGAGTCAGGCTTCAATATGCTGTCTGGCAGCTGTTGCTCCAGGATTAGCAAACTGCTGCTGTTTTGTGAGGGAATTTTGTGATTTTCTCTCCACATCTTGCTGTTCGAGCTACAGGGTCCAGGTCGACGCAGATTGCAGACTAACGTTTAAACTGGCTCGGTTGGTCCCTACATCAATATGAAACTGTATGACACCTTCCTTAAGAGAACCCAGAGTACGGGCTTTCACACCTTAGCCCTTGCTCCAGACACCCACACCTCCTTGTGTAAATACACGTTTCCTATTTTCCATCCTTTTAATGATGAATAATTATATCCTCACACTTCTACAGCTCATTCCTGGACACTCCACTCCCAGCACTGTCCAGTACTGAGGATCCCCTCCACCCCCCCAGTGTGATGATGCTCCAGTCCGCTCACACACTCCAGCTCTCAGTGGGGAGGAGAGCAGAGTGATGAGGCCAGTTCAGAGAGGGGGGTGATTAGGAGGCCATGACTGGTAAAGACCAGACCCAACCTATCCTCTCCAAGTTTTGATATACTCGGATCACATCTCCTGTCAATCCTTCTGTTCTTCACTGCAGAGATTCAGCTCCCTTACACTGTCCATATACAGTATAACAGGCCCTAAGACCAGGAATGAGTCTTCATACTCTACTTTGACGATTTCTAAGGCTTTAACATGTAAAGTTTTATAGTTCTGGAGGGGAGCTGCATCAGCATGCATAGGCTGCAAAGGAACAAGTAAAAGGTTTATTCCTGCTGAAAAGAGAAGACAGAAAACACAACGTTTCGACTGTGGTGCCTTCTTCAGGTGTGAGGTGTGAGCCTTGTTCACATTGCTCACACCTGAAGAAGGCTCCACGGCTTTCAAGCATGGAGTAAACCTTTTACTTGTTCCTATAATGTTTAATGATAAATTATGTTAATCACAGTGAGGTGCTCTAAGTGCACTGGAAATCATAAGTATAACTACTATGGACTTCAAATCGGCACAGATAGCTACTGTATGTCCTCAAGCATCCTTCTCACACAGAATAACCTGTACAGAGATCCCAACGTACTTGTGTGCAGTTTCCTACAGCTCTGAATCACCTGTGCAATACTGACAGTGTTCAGGGATCT